TATCGCTTTATTAATTATTATAATTTTTAATAGAATTTATTAAAGATTGTTCTCTGGATTCGATTTAAAGCCTAAATTTTTTAACGAATTTAAATATAAATAATAAATTTTGTACGTATATGCAATAAAATATCATGCAAATATCACATGCACATCACGATTTAATCAACCAATCAATGGATTTTTAACCATGCTCGAAATCATAAACTTATTAAACTTATCGAATCGGTCTAAAATCATTCGGTCAATTTTTACCAGATGTCCAAAAATTTATGAGAACAGCTGTAAATTACGTATATTATTGCCGAAATAATAACCGGATCGGCCGAAAAATCATTCGGCTAATTATCAGGCGTCCCAGGAATTATGTAAAAAAAGCTATTTTTGTATAATGATCATTTACAATTGTCAACAATAATGTCAACGAATTTAAATTTTCGTTCGAATGCTTGTCCAACATGTTGGTGTGCTTAGTTTGTACGAAAATTTATGAAAAAAACTGTTCATGTCAACCTAAAAAAGGAATCGAATATAAATTAGGCTTTTATAACAAATATATTACTCGAACAAGTGCCGCTATTAAAAAGTTAGATATGATCATGAATTTGTCGACTGGTTTAAAAATGAATCTCAAGGTATTATTAATATTTGTCGAGAATGCATGAAGAATTATGATGAGCGAAATCAAAGTGATCTTGCCAAAGAATAGGAATCGAAATTTAATTCAATTTTTTAATTAGAAATGAATAAAGGCTTCGTTTGAACGAAAATGGATCTTGCCAAAGAATAGAAATTGAAATTTTTTAAAAACGAATTTCATTGAAAATAATTAGAAATGAATAAAGGCTTCGTTTGAACAAAAATGGATCTTGCCAAAGAATAGGAATTGACAAATTTTTTGTCTTCGACAAGAAATAAATAAAGGCTTCGTTTGAACGAAAATAGATCTTGCCAAAGATAAAGAATTGAAAATTTGCACAATTTTTTAAAAACGAAAATAATTAGATATGAATAAAGGCTTTGTTTGTACGAAAATGGATCTTACCAAAGAAAGGGAATTGAAATTTTACACAATTTTTAAAACTGAATTTCGTCGAGAAATAATTAGAAATGAATAAAAGCTTCGTTTTAGCGAAAATGGATCGTGCCAAAATAATAGGAATTGAAATTTACGTCTTATTGTAATATATATTAGTCATCTGATCTTATTAAAATCTATAACTTAACCGGATCGGCCGAAAAAAATCATTTACAGGTGTCCCAGAAATTATGATAATAGATATCAAAGTTTAAAAACATCTTTATACAAATATACTTCATACTGCATCCAGTAGAATTTTGGAACAGGCTTAATCGGTTTTAACATATGAAAAATAAAACCGATTCCAACTCAGAACAGAATACAGGAAAAATGGTCATGTGTCATGCAGGGGAAAATTTAATCACATGGACAAAATTTCGTTATATCGCAGTATTCTCGAGTGTTAACTAGAAATTTTTTCTTTTCAGATCAAAATCATTTATATAAAATAAGAACATTGCAATAAATCTAATTCTATTAAAATATCTGTACAAATGGAAGTGAATGAGCAAAAACGTTTTGAAACCGGTGCATCGTACCAAAAAAGACCTGGACGCCTGATAATTACAAACAAGCGACTTTATTGGTCTCCTAATAAAGGAGAAAAACAGCCTATAATCAACATCCCTCATGCAGTTTCAAGTAGTAAGTGCCGATCTCAATGGTATTCTAATCTTCAAAGCCCTGGATTTGCTAAAAATTATGAGCTAGACGTATACCTTGTGATTTTGTGTGCCGTGCAGATCAATTTTTCGACAAATATTTAACTTAAAAATACTTTTGGTAGAATTTTTTGTTGGTAAAGAGAAAGTAGCTCAAGAACCAAAATTCAAGATATCTACAGGGGGAGCTGAATACACATTTTCTTTAAGTGCATGGGATCTCATTCCGAAGATACAGTCAGAGTTAACTACTGTTAAAGGGAGGTCTGCAGCACCTTCACCGGTCGCTCCTAGATCTGCCGCTGCTTCTCCAGCGCATCAACGCTCTTCTGCACCATCTCCCGCTTCAGGTTCTTCTTCTCCAGCACTTCGGAATGGTCCTCAAAAGGTTACTAGTAAAACTGGTGCCCCATCGCGAAATTCCAATAGCGATAAACATAAATTATGCATGCAGTTACTTTTACGAGACAAAAACCTTTCAGAACAACACAGAACACTTGTCTTAAAAGAAAGATGTGTCACTGAAGATGAATTTTGGGAACTTCGTCAAGTATGGTTAATATTACATTCATGAATATAATTGTATGCTACCCTAATATGAACGTAACATGAATTAAGGTGATGGATTTATGATGGATTAGGATCTGTTAAGAGATCATGAGTTACAAATGAAACAAAAAAAAGGGAGATCTTCTGTTATTCCTAATATCCGACCAATTACTGAAGAAGGAGGAGAAACAAAGATAAATATTACGCCTCAATTAGTTCAAGAGATTTTCGATGAATATCCTCGTGTTAAAATAGCATATGAACAAAACGTAGGCGATAATAAGGTAAATAATTTTAATCTTATAATTATTTTTTTTATGAACTAAATAATAAAGTGTCATGTACCACCAATATAGCCACTTGGTCATAAGGAATTTTGGAAACGATATGTGCAATCAAGGTTTAATGATAGAAACCGAAGCAATGGATCGAGTGTGGTTAACGATGATTTATTTGAAAGATGCTGGTTAGAGACAGAGGAAGGTTGGTGCATTTCATAATAGCTTATTGTTTTTTAATTATCTTAATTATCATAATTCGTTATAAAAATTTTTGAGTGGAACATTTATAAACTTGTTAATATATATAGATCTAAATCAAGAGAGAGAACACAGAGAACATGGGCGTAAGCGAATAAAAATCAGCAACCTTCGAGATCTAAGTGCAACCAAAGAAGATCACATGGAGGTAACAAACAATCATTGATGTGTACTACTTTCACATTTAAGTAAATGCGTTATAAACGTATAATATTTCTTAGGTTGAATTAGTAAAAGATATAACAATGCGTTCAGGGCAAGGAAAAATTCTTTCTTTAATTCGTCGTAGTAACCGTCATGGAGAAAGAATTTTAGAAACATCGAGGTTGGTTCTGATTTAAACCGATGCACCTAACCAGTCACGTGTCGCGAAAAAGTTTTATCAGAATTTCTCGCTTAATAATCTATTTTCCAGTTCAAAAACTCGAATATCTAAAGAAAAAGCGAACCAAAATAATCAGGTTCGAAAAAATTTTATGCTGATTTTCTAATTATTTAAATATTTATAGCTTTATATAAATATTTATAGCTTTATATGTTTATTTAGGAGCATCAAAAAGAGGATTATACTCCATATATCAACATAGAGGATCTTATTGATGAACAACCAGAAAACTCAATTCGTTTAGAGATTCATGATCAGCGAGAGTATTTTGCTAGTCAGAAGTCAGAACAGGACCGTGACGTAGAAATGATAGATTCACAAAAAGTAAAGTCATGGTTTATACATTAAATTACAAACAAATGAATATAAATTGTAGGAAATATTCCTAACAAATATTGATATGCCTTATTAGTCACCGATCGATATATTAAATGAACTTAAAGCTGACTTCGTTGATTGGAGACCTAATCTGACGGTGGTAAGTACTAACAAGAGCTGTTTGTTAATAATAATACATAAATGTTAATTTCCTTGTCTAATGTTTCTCAGTCATTAATTAGTGATAAATCCGCTAAAAAAGCAACAAAAAAATGTAACGAACTGATCAAGATAAAACAAAATTATGCAAAAGAAGCATTACCAAATTTGGGTAATTGAATTAATACGCATAAAAATTTTTTATTTATTTATTTTTTTGATTATTATCAATGAATTGGTGACCATGAAAAATATTGTCTTATAGAAAACTTTCCTTCACCAATTGAGAAAGAAGTTCATCTCCTTCATCTTATGGGAAATGAGTATCTGCGGCATTTTTGGGCATCGATGAACTCCAAAGATAAAGCCGAAAAGAATAAAAAAATGATTGAAAAGCTTCGTAGTGCTTTGGCTCGAATCAATAAAATCAAAAAATTGAATCAAGATGGTGATGAGGCACTAGATTCCTCACAATCGTCTCAAAGTACAGATATACGAGTTAATGAATTAGAATGGTCAGATGCCACAAAACTGGCAGTGCAAGTATGTGGTCACACAATCATAATGATCTTATTATCGATATTAGAGATTAAGATATTTATAAATATATAATTCATTAGATGCTTAAACCTTTACGCGATGCTATTGAGACAGCTCTCCGGGGAAGAGGTCACAACTAGTGATCCGGGAAGATCGGCTAAGGCCTAATTTTGGTTTAACTGGTCTTTTTTTTTTTCAAAAACGGCAGATTGATTTCTTACGATAAATAATAATTCACGCATAAACTTTTAATTATTACAAGTTGGCTTTTCTTGTATTTATATTACAAATAGCAGGTAATAAATTGTTATAATAAATGTCGATGAGACTTTAAAGAAATTTTATTCTCTGAAGTTACATGTTTCTGGCAAATTTAGGTTGTTCTCAAACGTCGCACCGTGGTTTGTCGAATGATCTCGTTGGCTAGGAAAAAAAAAAAAAAAAAACATATAAATCAACTAATCGAAATTATTGAACATTGAAGAGTTGCTTTAAACAAATATTTTCATTATCAATAATTCATATAGCGATAGCGTTGCAAAGCATTACTTAATAAAGATCAAAAAAAAAAGATAATCATACATAGCGATAGGGAAGCTAAAAAAAATAGAAGCCACTGATGCTCTATAAATGTATAAATAAACAAATTTATATTGGCGGATAAAAATTTTATCTGATTGGTTGTCAATCTTCTAAATTTTTGCACGGATATATGCGCTTATTACTCTTGCGTTTATCTTTTGCTTTTTTCTACTCGATTCTGCTCATTGCTGCTCGTGCTCATTCTCATACCGCCTCATTTCAGTTCGCTCTGGGCTATATCAAATCCTTCCCCTGAGCCGATATCCATTGTCTGACCATTGTTGATAATGCATCTCATGGATCGCTCATTGGGGTGTCCCATATCAGTCAAATATCACTAATAAAGATTTTTTCTACGGATCTGCACTCTATATTAAACGATTATAAAAAATGAACTTTACTTCGCCTTTAATTCCTCCCGTAATATTTAATATTTTTTAATTCTGTAAAAGCAAACCATTTAATGAAAGGTGCCTTTATAACGTAACAACGTTGGATTTTTTATTTTATTAATATAAACGTCTTCAATTCAAGCTGAACTATTTTTACCTGAAAAATATATAAATCATGTGTCAAAAAAGATAGCGATAAAATATACAAAAAGACCTATTCAATTCGTTTATTTTCATTTTGAACCAACTTATCGCGCATTGGGAAGCTTTATCTGTTTTTTTCAACAGTGTAAAGTTGATAGCACACAAGAACCACAAGTTAGTGCTACAAATCGCCAAAAATTTTGCAATCAATTAGTTGTCAACTTTTCGATTATTCGATTTTTATTCGATTTTTGTTTGATTTTATTTGATTTTAATATGAATTGCCAAAATTTTTTCAATCAATTAGTTGTCAACTTTTCGATTAGTTGCGATTTTCGATTTGTAGTACTACCACAAGTGCAAAGTGGATCACAGGTTATCACACAAAATGTTGTTGAACAATTTAGATGAAGGTCCTATTTTTTTATTCTATAATTCCTTTTTTGGACCAACTCTTTAAACTTAATAAAATACAGAAATACTAGCCATCTTTGTAGAAGGATCATTCCCAGTAGGCTTAGTAGCATTTAAAACAAAAAAAGCATGCTCACATGACATGCTTGTAACCTGTAAAGATAAGTAATTGCCACTATACTGTATGTACTACAGTTGGAAAACAGTAGGCATTTGTTTTTCACCATAGTAATAGATTCACACCTGGCTCCCATGATAGAGAAAGGTATTCTTCCAACTCATCTTTCTCTATCTTGATTTTACCACTTTCACTTTTATTTATTTGGATAAGTTTTTGAAATACTTTTAATGGATCTTTAATTTGGTAGTTGTTTTATTTTTACTTAATAAGTAAAAGGCTTTTAATTTATTAATAGCTATTTTTTGGTCAATTGTATCAAATATTTCAAATTTTTTAGATAGATTAAGAAGTGTAAAGATGGCAGAAAATTCCTTAAGATAAAGTTCAATACTTTTTTAGTTTATTTTTTATTTTTTATTTTATTTTTTTTGATATTAAGGTAATCTCTTTGGCCTGGAGATTTTTTATTAGAGTATAGATGAAGTTTTATAATATAATTACAATGATAGTACATCAAGCCACATATGTATCTTTTGAGTGCTTAATTTAAGTAGTCTGCCCGAAGGTTTTACACTATCTGCCATACCTGCACCTCAACTAGGGGGGTACCTATTTAAACTATCTGGTTCTAACTACCTCTATTAACCCTCTAATCCAAAGAGTTTTCTCACTAAACTAAGTAGATATTGGTATCACCCCACATTAGATTTTGCACTCTGTCTTAGAACTTACTAACTCATATAGATCTAGTCTATCCTCAAGATAAACCTAACATAGTAGTACTTGTTCCACATATGTATTTACATGCTTGTTCTTATAACTTCTTTCTAATTAGTACATATTGACTTGCCATTCCATATTTATATCTCATGCCACCTTTTGGGGTGCTGCCATTCTACAGATATTTTTCAAGTACCAACCTTCCTAACTAGGCATTCATTATGTACTTTTTGCCCTTGTTTTGGTTTCTAGCAACCCCAGTACCCCATATTTAAATCATCTTCTTACCCAGATTCTTTATTGGTCCTTCCCTTACTTCCAGTTGGCAACTCGGAAGGGTCGGTCTGCCTAGGCTTTAGGTGTCTAAAGGACGCCCTTCTCTTGGTTCATACTTTTGAAGCGTATGTCCTTTTTCTCTGGTGCGACAACCCGGTGGTTTAGCTAGTATATTCCCCACCATTAGAACCTGGTCGCTCAGTTCTCTGATCTTAGGCCCTGGTTTGAATTCAGCCCTCCTGTGGTACCATTATAAATCACTACTACCTACAAACTTGGAACTTGCCAGATGGGTTTTCAGTTATTCTGATTCTCTGAATTTATTGCACTAAAGCTTTCATTACTAGATAGTGTGACCAAGGTTACAGATTAATCTAAATCTAACTAATAGAAAGCTGTCAATCATACACAGGCTTATTTTTCAAAATTGTCACTAGTGGGATTTGAATTTTAGACCTGCTACTTGGAGAGGGTAACAACTAGACCACTATACTAAGTCACCACACCTCTTTAGTTTATTTTTTATTTTTGTAGCTACTTCACAATATGTATCAATAAAAAGATACTAATTAAGGTGCATTGGAAGTCCTTGAATAATTAATCGCAATGACCAATGGAAAGAATATAAAGTACTTGAAAAAAATATAGCTGCTATATTAAATAGTTTAAGAAGTTATACAATTTTTTTTATGATTACCTACTTATTGGCTTCCAGGTAATCATTTTTTTATACTTGGTTAAAATAATATAAGACAGTCAGTAATAGCTTGAATTTGACTAAGACTTTTAAGCATTAAATAGGTAGAAATTTCAATATTAATTACTGGGTAAAAAAAAAGTATTGCCTAAAATATTTGAAATTCTTCTTAACTTTTTCAAGATTAAAGACAAACTTATTTTTTTACAAAAATTATAAACTTTTTAAATTAGGCTAAGATAATATTTTTGATTTGCTTGAACTATAAAGTTAATGATACTTGTTATACAATACACATACTTAAGGTTAGGTTTTATAGATCTTTGAAACACTAGTCGAAATAAAAAAATTTAGCACTACTAATTTCATAAGCAAATTGGCATTATACACCTTAAATCATACACAAATTGGCATATGCTGAAATTTGTGGTTTGGATTTTAATATAATTACTGATTTATGTACAAATTATATACATAATACTTAGCACCAAATCAGTATAAAACTCATTACAATTATTATAATTTATTATTAAATTCAGGCAGAGTTTGGAGCCCAGTTTTATTTTCATATTAAAATTGATTAAAACTAGTTTAACATAATAGTGTATGAGTAAAGTTTGGAAAAGTATAGTATTTGACCACCTAAAATAGTTTTTACATATCCTTAAGTAGTCAAATGTTTTATTACTAAATGTTATTTTTTTTAAATATAATTGTTCTTAAGTATTCACTGAATATTATTTTTTAAATATAATTGTTGGAATAAATTCAGATTTCAACTTAATAATTTGGATTTAAATATAAAGCAGAAAATAATCAATTAATATAAAACCAGATTTAAAAATAAATTCTGGTTTCAAACTCTATATATATATATATATATTTTTTTTAATATTGAGGTGACCACTTAGGCCCCTGGTACTTTATTAGTTCAAACGGGTGGGCCATCCGAAGACTGGCTTACATATTACATCAGTATAATGAGAGTACAATTAGTCACACGTACAACTTTTGGTTGCCTATTTAAGTAGTCCGCCCGAAGCATTAGTGCTATGCTAAGGGTTCTACAC